GTTTTGCCACCCATTTTCGATGTCTTATAGACTCAAATTCATCTTACAGATGTGATGTTTAAACATCCACGTATCCATGAAAATTCTCAATTTTTCGTTCATAGTCCAAGCTTGAATACAAATATCTCAATTTACAGTGAAAATAATATTTTTTTATTTGAATACTGTTCGACATTTTGTTCTGGGCTCCTTCGATTATTATTATTATCGTATTAATATCCGACCTTCTTTATATAGCACCGGTGCGCGCGCAAGTGCGATTTTCGGAGCCATTGAGAAAATGAAGTTCACCGAACACTGGCGATGTTCGACAGTCCTGCGTCATCACACTGGAGGTACTTCTTTCGTCCGTTTTTACCGATTCTGATAGGTCTGTTTTCTTCCTCTGTAGTCTCAAAGTGGGGGGAAGGAGCCTGGGAAATCCTACTTTTGTCGAATTTAATGACCACATTAGCTATCGTAATAGTATTTCTACCTTCAGCATCATCCCTAATCGCTCCACCGGTATCTTTAATTTAGAAAAGGACACGAGACGGTAAACTTAATCATATAAGACCTCTAACTTCCCTTGCATTACGACGGTTAGGCCACCTTATACGTTAAACAGTAGACTTTTAATTTTAGTACGGTTTTTCAAGCAACCGACTGGGCCATAAGTCTTCAAAGACTAGTTGGTCCCGTGTACAGCTCGCGTTCCCCACCGTTTTTGTTACTTCAGTTGACGACGCCGCATTTGTTACTTGGAACAGTAGACCACATTTGCATTTCTAGTAGTGAGGATATCTTTGTGTCGCGATAAAGCACATTAAAATCACATTTTAACTGTCCTTATTTGTTACTTCATCTATCTCTGTAAATGACGCTGGTCTGCCTTGTGTAAATATCTTGATTATTAGGGGAATTTGGCAGATTTTCTTAATTCAGTTGATCATCACTACGCTTGCTGTTCCTTAGTAGTGGATTCCATACGAGAAGTAAGTTGGGCGGGTAAAATTGATCCAAGTGTGATTAAATTCACGGCTTACAGTGAGCCTCGTAGCTCAATGGTAGAGCGTTGGCTGCATAAAAGCCTTCCCTGCTGTGTGGGTTCGACTCCTACCGAGGCCGTGCATTTTTCACAATCGGTCAACTGAATGAATATCTTGACTAAGCTCTTAGTATATTTTTGTTTAAGGGTGTTCATTGACCCCTGACCGCCACACTCGTCATGCTTGTTTGTAGTATCCTGAT